GGGTGCTGGAGTGGCATGGGACGCAGCAGTTTTGCCTCCCCGGAGCAGTGGGGGCTGTGTGGCCAAGGTGGTCTGTCCAAACGGGAGCGGGGTGGCACTGGGGTTCTTGACCAGATGCTGGGTCGTGCTTAATTGGGGCACAGCTGGGGCTGAGCACTGTCCAGCGTTTCCGATATTACTATTGGGAGGTTGTACAGCTGATCCATGGCTTGGCTGCCCAGCTGAGATCCCCTCATGATTCTCAGGAGTGTTCGACTACTTCCAGTAGCTGGACATGTTCTCCCAGCTCAGGGAGGGGGCTCCCCCTGCTCTGATGGCTTCCCATCTTTTTCTCCCCACCCCAGGTGTCTTCATCTGCAGGGGGAAGGAAGATGCGCTCGTGACGAAGAATCTGGTGCCAGGCGAGTCTGTGTACGGGGAGAAGAGGATCTCAGTGGAGGTAGGTGGCCTTGCTGGGCGGTGGTTGGGAGAGGTTCAGGGAAGCACTGGCTACGCCAGGACTTGGGGGTGGGATGGTTCCAGCCTGCCTGGGCAGCTCCAGTGTGACCGGAGCTGGTGCTGTCATAGGAGGGAGGGCGTTGGGGGGTGGGGGAGGATGCAGCTATTGAGCATGCTTACAGCCAGCTGGAAGCCCCCCAGCTCCGCTCTGACCCCACTGCTCTCTCTGCAGGACGGTGAGCTGAAGGTGGAGTACCGTGCCTGGAACCCCTTCCGCTCCAAGCTGGCGGCGGCCATCCTGGGCGGCATCGATCAAATCCACATCAAGCCGGGAGCCAAGGTCCTGTACCTGGGAGCTGCCTCTGGGACCACGGTCTCGCACGTTTCTGACATTGTGGGGCCGGTAAGGAGCCTTTCCCTCTGGAGCCACTGCTGGGCCCGGGTCTGTAACGAGGCGGGGAGGAGGACATCTAGAGGGTCTGACTCAGCTGTGCTGAAAGAGGACAGTGCCTGGTTGCCTTGCAGTGGCGGCGTGGGGTGGCAGGGAGAATGGGAAGAGAGGCTGCTCTGCTCTTGCGGGAGATGGCTGACCTTGGCTCTTTGCTGCACGCAGGAAGGTCTGGTGTACGCCGTGGAGTTCTCCCATCGCTCGGGCCGTGACCTCATCAATGTGGCGAAGAAACGCACCAACATTATCCCCGTCATCGAGGACGCACGGCACCCGCACAAGTACCGCATGCTGATCGGTGAGGGCTGCGGGGCCCCGGGCTTCCCTGGCAGGGGGGCAGGCTACAGAATTAGGATCCCCCGTCACACACAGGATCCAGTAACTCCCCACCCCTGCTGATAGAAATGGCTTTCTCAGCAAGCGGGGGCTACAGAGTGAGATCCGTCCCATCATGCCCAGGGTCCTGTAACCCCCACAGAATGGCTTCCCCAGCTGTGGGGGGAGCTACCAAGAGAGGTTCTCTGCCATGCACAGAGGCTGGGCTGATGCTTCCCACTTGCACCGGGGGACAATGGGGTTCCCTCTCCCCAGCCGCTGTCTTGGGTGTCTTCTGAGCAGCAGGCTCATGCTTGGGCTGGATTGCGGTACATTGAGGGGATGGGCCTGGGTCCATCCCCTGGCTGGGGGGATAGCAGAGGCAGACATCTAAACCACCCTCTTCTCCCTGCAGGGATGGTGGACGTGATCTTTGCTGACGTGGCCCAGCCTGACCAGTCGCGTATTGTGGCCCTAAACGCTCACAACTTCCTGAAGAATGGAGGGCACTTCGTCATCTCCATCAAGGTAACGGCAATGGGGCCTGGCTGCTGCCCCTCCCAATGCCCTGGTGTGGGACCCGTGGGCTGTCTAATATTTGGGCTCCATGGGGAGCTTCCTGGTCACTTGTTGCTAGTTATTCCAGTAGTCCCCAAGGATCAGGGGGGTTTGGTGTGCAAGGTGCTGCACAAGCTCAGGGTAACTCCCCTGTGCTGCAGTCCCGTGCATTGGGACCTTTTGGGGCGTCCTGTAGGCCGTCTCCTCTGGCCCATGCTGGATCCCCTGGGCTGCAGGCACCGTATGCAGGCGTTGTCTCTTGTGGAGGTCTGCTGGATCTCCTGGGCCAGAGCTGGTCCCTCCAAGCCCTTGACTGTAGGCTCCTCTGTGTCCCTGGAGGAGGGGGCTCAGCTGTGGGGCAGGTTCAGGGATGGCAGGAAGGTAACTTTTGGCATTGGGAGGGGATACCCAGTGACAGGATCGCTCACAGAGGAGGGGAAAGCTGCTTAGCTGCTCACTGCTTCCTTCTAGGCCAACTGCATCGACTCCACAGCTGCGCCCGAGGCCGTCTTCGCCTCCGAGGTGAAGAAGATGCAGCAGGAGAACATGAAACCCCAAGAGCAGCTGACGCTGGAGCCCTACGAGCGAGACCATGCTGTGGTGGTGGGGATTTACAGGTACAGCTGCGCGATGTGAGAGGTGGGGTTGGGGAGGAGAGAATGTTTGGGTTTGCCTAGCAGAGGGATTGGGGGTATCCATGTACCCCCTAATGGGAACGTGCATGCAGGTGTGGTGGGTAAAGGCTTGCCCTGTGAGGCTGGGAGGCATCTCTACTTGGAGGGTGGATCTAACCCTTGTCTTTCTCTTCCAGACCTGCCCCCAAACAGAAGAAGTAGTGTCTCCTTGAAGCTCCTTGTCACTGGGCCCCCAGGCCGGATCCCTTCGTCTGCTGGCATGGGGCCTGGGTGTGGGGTTGTCTCGCTGCCCACCCTCCCTCTCCCCTGGGACTCATTTCTATTCTGCTTTGTGGCTTTTTTTTTTCCAAGATGTATTTTTATTAAAATATGGGAAAATGGTAGTGGCAGGTTTGTGTGTGCTAGGCAGGCAGTTCACACGCATGAATAGTGACCCTGTCTTCAGTGGCTTCCGCTTGGGCCATTTGCCCTACTCTCCCCCCCCCCCAACCCTGAGGGTGACTGTTGGGCTGGGGAAGCTCAGTGCCTGCTGGGGATGGGTTGGGGTTTGGCCTGGTGGGGAAGGGACTCCCCCCAGCCCTGGGGGGAGTGTCTCTGGAGGAAGACAGGGGCCTGTTCCTTGATTTTTCCAAAGCGGGGGAAGGAGTTTGTCAAGGTATCTGGAAAGGGTAGGGTTGCCAACCCTCCTGGTTTCACCGGGAGTCTCCAAGAATCAGGCTTGATCTCCGGGAGGCTACTGAAGCCAATTTGGAAGATTTTAGGCTGCTAAGAGTCTGGCTGCCCAGCTGGGCTGAGGCAGGCTCTCTGGCTCCATGCTGCTCCCGGAAGTGGTGGCATGTCCCTACAAGCCCTAGGCCAGTGGTTTTCAAACTGTGGGTCTGGGTCGTGGAATGTAAGGCATTGGGTCACAGCGGCTCTGGTCAGCACCACCGACCGGGCCATTAAAAGTCTTGTCGGTGGTGCTGCTGCCTGGCTAAGGCAGGCTAGTCCTTAGCTGTTCTGACAGCGTGCTGCGCCCTGGAAGCGGCCAGCAGTGGGTCTGGCTTCTAGGCAGGGGGGCCATGGGGCTCTGTCTGCTACCCCCGCCCCAAGGACCAGCCAGTGGGAGCTGGGGGGGAGGCAATGCCTATGGGCGAGAGCTACGTGGAGCCGCTTGTGTGCCTCTGCCTAGGTAGCAGCAGGTTCTGAGGCGCAGTGCGATAGGCGGTGCTAGGACAAGCAGGAAGCCTGCTTTAGCATCCCACTGTGCTGCTGACTGGGAGCCACCTGAGGTAAGCCTGTGCCCCCAGCCCGGAGCCCCTTCCTGCACTCCAAACCCCTCAGCCCCACCCCAAAGCCTGCACCTCCAGCTCAGAGTGGTGACCCCCTGCCCCGGCCCAGAGCTCCCTCCCAAACCCCTCATCCCCAACTCTGTTGGGTTGCAGGCATCAACAGATTTCTTCAATGGGGTTGCCAGAGAAAAAGTTTGAAAACCCTTGCTCTAGGTGCATGGGGGGTGAGGGGATCTCTGCACCCTGCCCCGAGTGCCCCTTCAGCTCCCATGGGTCGGGAATGGGGAACGGGGGCCGCTGGGAGCTGCGGGGGCGGTGTCTGCAGGCAGGGGCAGAGCTGCCTGCACCTAGGAGCTGATGCTGGCTACGTTGATGCTTGCGGCAGCCACCTGCAATAAGCACCTCCCGACCGGAGCCTGCCCCCTGAACCCCCTCCTGCACCCCAAGCCCCTGCCCTACTCCCCTCCTGCAGCCAAACTCCCTTCCAGAGCCCGCCCCCCAGGCCCCTGCCCCAGGCTCCGCCTGGAGCCCCGTGGCCCCCGGCCAGAGCCTGCCCCCAGCCCGCTGAAAGTCCGTGAGGGTGGGGGCGAGTGACTGAGGGAAGGGGGCTGGAGGGAGTGGGGGCGTGGCCCAGAGAAGGGGCGTGGCAGGGCTGTGGGCGGGGCGGAGGGGGCGGGGCAAGGGGTTGGGACAGTTGGCAACCGGGGGGGGGGGACGGAGGGAGGGAGGGCTCCGGCCCTGGGCGATCCCCAAGGGTGGGGGGGGCAGGTAGCCGGCCGCGTTAAGGGGAGGAATTGGGCCGGGGCCAGCGGGGGGAGGTCACCGAGGGGCGGGGCCTAGTCTGGTCCGAATGGGCGGGAGCCTCGTGCGGAGGAGGAAACGCCCTGGCCCAGCCCCCTCCGAACGGCGAGGGTAGAAGCCCTTCAGAGAAGGGGTGGGGCTGCCCAAGGACTCCTCTGATTGGATGGGGGTGCGCACGCGCAGTTCGTGGCTTCCCCGCCGGCGCCTGTGGCTTGCGTTCGGGAGAGGGAAAGGTCACGTGCTGGCGCGTGCCCTGTGCGGGGGGGGGGGAAAGGGGGAAGCGCCTGCGCACCGTCAGGAGCGGTCACGTGGTACTTCAGCGCCAATGAGGTGGGACCGTCGGCGATAATTTATGACACCATCAAGCGGCTCCTCAGTCACTTGTCAGGGCTATTCCGCCGCGCATTTCGCCCCATTGATTTTGGTCACGCGCCCCTTCCGTAACACGCGTGCGTAGATTCGTTCTGGTCAGTCTCATCACGTGGGCTGCCGGCCGCGCGCCTGCGCACGCTCCGCTGGCTGGCCCGGATCACGTGGGCGGCCGGCGCGGCGCATGCGCGGTGCCCCGGCGGCGGCGGCGGTTTGTTGTGGTCGCCATTTTTTGTTGCATTACTGGGAAATCCCGGGGCGCGCGCAGGAGCCGCCCGACCGGACCGGGACCCGCCGCCGGGGGGCGCCGCCCGCAGCGGGACGGGACCGGGACCCGCCTCCGCCCGCGCCGGGCCGGCCCGCCCGAGACCCTCCGCCAGGGCCGCTGCCGCAGGTGAGACCGGCCGCGACCCCCCTCCCCGGGACCGGCCCTGACCCTGGGACCGGCGCAGTCCCGGATCGTCTGCCCCGCCCAGCTCAGACCGGCCCCTCCCCGCCCGGGACCCGCCCCATCCCCTCTCCCCGCCCCCGGGATCGGAACCGGCTCCGGGACCCGACCTCGCACGGGACGGGCCCTCCCCCTGCCTCTGGGACCCGTCTCGGCCCCTCCCGCGTCCTCCTGGGATCTGACCCGGTGCCCCCGCCCCCGAGATCCGACCGGGCCTCTCGCCGCCCGGGACCAGCTTCCTCCCTTCCCTCCCCTCCCCGTGACCGGCCTGTGCTCCCGTGCCTGGCATCTCCAACGTCCTCCTTTCTTCGGCTGGGATCCTCGCCTATCCCGCCCATCCCTCTTCTCACTAGGGCAGTTGCCCCCAGGAACCCCAACGGGAAACTGCCCCCCCGGATGATTTCTTCTCTGCATGTCCCCACCCCGAATCTCCCTTTCCTGCCAGGGCGGCTGCCACAGGGAGATAGGCCTGGCACCAGCCCTTGGCTGGAGACCTGCTTCCCAGACCGCCATACTAAAATCCTCTTCCCCCCTGTACCCCTGCCTGGCCCAGAATCGATTCTTTCCCCTGGTCCTGCCAGAAACCCCAGCTATCTGCTAGGGCCACTGCCATGGGTGGGCCCACCTCCACCCCCAATTCCCCACCTGTCCTGCTACCCTCCCCTGGCAGGGACGCTGCCACAGGTGAGACCAGCCAGGGTCCCTGCTCCCTGCCTGGAGCTTCATCTGTCTGGAACCAGTCTGCTGTACCTAGCATAGATCCCCTCCTCCTGGGAAATGACTCCTTCCTCCTGCCCCGTTGTATGTACCGTGGATGTTGCACTTGAAAGCCTTGCCTGCCCTGAAACTACCCTTCTGTACCCGGTCTGGATCTTCCCTCCTGGGAGCTGACACCCCAAGATCTAACTTTCCTCTGAAACTGATCCATCCGTGACCTGCTCTACCTGCCCTGGAACCCACCATAAAGAAAGTGAGCCCTTGCATCTTGCCTCAGAGCCCCTGGCCCCCTGTATTTGTAACCGGCCCTGGATCCCATCAGCCAGGAAGCGACGCTCTGTTGCCCCACTAGAATCATAGAATATCAGGGTTGGAAGGGACCTCAGGAGGTCATCTAGCCCAACCCCCTGCTCAAAGCAGGACCTGCCCTGGAACTCACTGTCCAGAAAGTAACTTCCCCTTCTCCATAGCCCTCTGCCTGCTGTAGCTGCTCCTGAATTGGCCACTTGGCAACCCCCCATGACCTCTGGGAACACCCTGTACTTCACCCGGGAACTCTAGCCCCACCTCCTTTCACAAAGCATTGTTCTCACTGAATGTCAACTGAAAAATCCCCTACGGGAATTCCACCCCCAAACACCTGCCTGGAACTGTCTTGCCCACACCCGGGAGCCACCTGGGATATCTACCCATTGCAGTGCCCTGCTCCCCCCCCCCCCCAATATTTCCCTGCACATGCCCCATGAGAACCTTGATCCCACATGGGTATCCCTGATGTCTGGACCCTGTGAACCCTGTTACATTTGTCACCCCACAAAAGCACATGGAAACTCCTTTCTCTTCTGGTACTGCCTGGAAACTGCCCCCTCCTTCCTCTCCACTGGTACCACTTGAAAGCTCTATCCTGATGCTATCTGTGGACCCTCAATTTTTCCCCCCTTAGGTACCATCACTATGTTTCCCTCCCCTTCTGTTTGGGTGGCTCTTTTGATCTTCTGTGGCACCCCTGAGAAATCTGCTCCTACATGCTGCTTAGGGCCTTGTCCCAATCCATGCCCCCCCCTCACCCCAAAACTGTGCAGCCCATTCCTGTTCCACTCCAAGGAACCTGGCCCCCTTCCCACTTCTGGGAACCTGGAATCCCTTTCATCTCACTTCCCTATCTAATCCTAACAACACTTTACTGCCATGGCCCTACACCATCCCAGGTATCACCCCCTAGCCCTACCTGCCCCACTTTCACTCTCTCCCCGAGCTTTGAGAGGTGATGGGGTGATCTTGGTCTGGGTGGAGTTTTTGCAATTGGGGTGTGTGTGTCTGGGGTGAGGTCTGCACTCTATAGGGGTATCTGTATCTGTGCAGGGGGGCTTGCGCCTGATGCTTTGTGGGGATATTTGCATTGGAGTGCTGCAGATCTGGGATGGAGTGAATCCGAGTTTGAACAGGGACTGTGTGGTATGGATCTAGGATGAGGGGGTCTGGGAAGGGCTGGTGCAGGTCTGGGATGGAGGGGATCCGGTTTGGACAGGGCCGGTGTGATGGAGGGATCTGTACGGAGGGGCGTAGCTGCAGCATTTTAAGTATAGTCGTGCCCTCGGTTTCCCTTATTGAGGGCAAGTCTACGCTACAAAATTAAGTCGACCTAAGTTATGTCCATGTACAGCCATTGCAGTAATTGAATCGGTTTTCTGTGTCGACACTATGCGTCTTGTGTTGGCGGTGTGTGTCCTCACTAGATGCACTTGCATCGATTTAACTGCCAGTGTGGGGCATTGCTGGATGGTTTCTGAAAGGCAGCAACATTACATGTAAGCAATGCCACCTCTACCTAACTAAATTGACCTAAGCGCTACTCCTCTTGCGGAGGTGGAGATGAGTCGGTGTAGTGGGCGAGTTACGTTGGTGGGAGCTACATTTTAGTGTAGACACTTAACAGAGTTAGTTCGACGTAAGCTGCCTTCTGTCAACCTAACTCTAATGTAGACCAGGCTTGATTGTCTGTGCAGTCACACACCAGCCAGTTCTCCAGTTGTCCATAGAGTCTCCCAGTAGAGATGAGTGGTGAAGACCCATTTCCCAGAGTCAAACAGAAATATGGTTGTGGGGGTGGTGGACCCCATTCCAGCTGCACAGATGCTGGAAGAGGTTGCGGCCATTCGTGCTTTTTGCAGGGCATCTTTACATGCACATATGAGTGCAGTCATTCCGGTTTGTTTCCTAGCAGAGTTTGGAGAGTGTTGCTCCCAGGGGAGTGGGGAGAGCAAAAGACTGTGTTTGGTCATTCTGATCCGTCTGGGCTCCTTGACTCTGGGGTGCTGCCTGTGGGAGGGCAGCCGTGTGGATTTGGAGTTCTGGCACCACTGGAGGGCCTTCGTCTCGCGGCTGGTCTCTGGCCTAAGGGTGTCTCCCTTCCCCGGGGTCTGCTGGGTTTGCCATTGTTCTGGTGGACTGATCAGGTCTTAGCTACTCCAGAACTTGTGGCCTTGACGTAAGCTTGAGTGTTAATTTCCCTCGCCTCCTCATGGGCCAGCCCCTTGTGAGTTTCTCTCTTCCCCCTGCCCCACTCCCTGTGCCTGTCCTCTGCCATTTCCTCTCCTCCCCCTCCCACCCAGAGGGTCTGTCCCCATCTCTCCTAGGGTTCCCACAGTGGGCTCGCCTCTATCTCCTCACTGTCTCCCTTTCCGTGTTTCCTTGGTAGTAGAAGAAAGGGACTCCTGGAACAACAGTGGCTGTCTGTTTGTTCGTGTTAAGGCTTAGTTGGAAGGGGATTTTTCTGTCTCAGTGGGGGAATTGGCAGTCAGGGGCTCTCCTGGCTTAATGATTGGGGAGTTCCTAGAGTCGCCAGCTCTGAGGGGACAGCCATCCCAGTTCTTAGAGCACTAGCCGAGGACTTGGGAGACCCAGGTTCAGTTCCCTGCTCCACCCCAGTCTCCCTACGTGGCTTTGGGCAAGTCATTTAGCTGCGTTGTGCCTCAGTTTCCCCATCTGTATCAGGTGGATAATGGCCTCCTGCAGCATTAAAGAGTGTGAGGCACTCAGATTCTGTTGTGGTGCGAGCCATGTAAGTACATAAGATAGAGAGAGACCCCTTCAAAGTGCTGTAGATTAGCCACATGGACAACCCATACTGTGTTGTTTGGTAGCGCCCTGAGCCACGGCCCCATCCTGCTCTGGCTGGAGTGGAGCCCGTCTCTGAGAGTGCCAGTGCCGTTGGCTGGGCCAGGAGGAGGTGGTGGTGGGTGTCTGAACCCATCCCAGATGGCAGATGCATGCTGGGGCCACCCAAAGCATTTTAACTCTGCCCACATGGGCTGCCCTGGGAGAACCATGTCTGTCCATCACGGAGGGGGTAATGCTTCCAAGTGAAATGAGCCTGTGTGATGGATGGGTGCCCAGGAACTGATTGGAAGCAGTTTGGGGCAGGGACTCTCCGCTGAATCTGTGTCTGTACAGCACCTAGCACAAGGAAGATCTGGTTCATGACTGGGGCAGTTAGACCCTACCATAATTCACTTAAACCCTACCGTAATACACCTAACAAAACAATAACATACAGCTCCTGGCCCAGTGGTGTCCTAGCCTGTTAGTAGGGCTCTTAGGTGTATTACAGTACCAGCTAATAAATAATGTGCCGCACCCAGCACAGTGAGGTCCTGGCCCATGACTGGGGGCTCCCAAGCACTGCTGTAGTGCACCTAATAAATACTAATATACAGCATCTAGCGCAGTGGGAGCCTTGTCTGTGCTGGGGGTTCCTAGGCACTACCCTAATATACCCAATAATAACGTACAGCACCTAGCACAGTGGGAGCCTTGTCCATGCTGGGGGTTTGTAGGCATAGACACTACCATAATACACCTAATAAATAATAATACACAGTGCCTAGCACAGTGGGGCCTGGACTGTGACTTGGCCTTCTAGGGCTACCACAATAATAAGTGCAGTGCTGAACCAGGAAAGGATCCTGCCTCCTAACCCTCAGGGAGGGAGGTTTATGTCCCAAAACAGCAGATTTTATATCCCTCATTTTTAAAAAATCCCATGTAATATAATGCTGATGTTTTAATTATTCATCCCCATTCCTAATCCCTTTCTCAGTCCTGGCCCAGTTCTTGTGGCAGTGAGTTCTGCAGGTGAACAGCGTTGTGTGTACAAAAACAACTTTTCCTTTAATTGGGTTGCTGTATCTTTTGCCACTCCAGCAATAATATGAAGAATCCACACAGGC